GTTTGTCAAAAGTACACAAGAGCCAAAAGGACCATGAAGTCATTACCAATGGTAAAAGTAGAACATAGAACAATCTCAGCAATATAATTCATAGTGATACTATTGGATTAGAACCCACAAAGCAAGATGAGTATCTATGAGCCCTGTTGATGTAAACACAGAAATAAATAAAAGACAGCTCTTTCTGTCAAATGCACTTATGTAAAAATGTAGAAAGAATAAGGATAATAAAAGTCACCATTAGGTAAACACTACAGTCTGACCTTGGTAAGAGTCAGTGCAATAGGGCTTTGTGGACCTAAATGTGCCCAGTTATTTTCCAAAAATAGAACATCCTTTGCCTCTGTCTATGCTTAAGAATGGGGCATGTTTCAGAGCCAATAGAAGCAAGACACAATGTATATTTTGATCCAAAATATACCCATTGGGGAACTCAGATCTAAAATGGCAGGTAAGTGGTCAGGAAACCCTTAAAATATGGATGGGATCAGAGGTACTCTCAGTGGATATGAAACAAGTGATTCAGGCCAGAGCACCAAGATGAAGGTGAGATGTACACAGGGGAGGTGGCTGAGGTGAAGTTGTAGGGGAGGTTTGTGATGCTTCAGAGAGTTGCCTAGGACCTCTGCATATCACATGTCATATCTGGGCTAACAGTGAATGGATTAAACATGAATAGTTTAAGTCAAGTTTTTAATTAGAATTATTAATGAAAAGTAGTAACATGAGAAAATACGTTTTGAGTGCCAACCTATAAGCTCAACATGAGGCTCAGTACATGAAATATCTGATCTTCACAAGCAATAAGATTAATATTAATAACTCCATCCTAAGGAAATTGAGGTTTACAGGTAATGAGTACAAAAGTTTCACAACTAGGAAAAGGCAAAGTTGAGATCTGGACATGGATCTCTCTGATGATAAGGCTTGTGATCTTAAACATTATGTGAACGGTAACTTGTTCATCTGAATGGGCAGAGGCATTCATTCCTGGACCTGGGGATTGTGCATGGATTCCCTTCACCCACACAGGTGTACACAGGAGTAATTGCCTGGTGCAGGAGAAAGCCCCCACCATATCCACTTCTCCAGCTTGTCAGGGGCTCAGTCTGGCTCCCATCTGGTTGAGGTTGATGATGTTTAGACTGGTCATGGAGAAGAGAAACAAGGTGAGGACATGTTCTGTACTGATGGGTGGGAGCAGGCTGGAGATGTGCCTTAAGTGGTAGAGCACCAGCCTACCACGTATGAAGCCCTGAGTTCAAACCCAAAACAAAAAACAAACTGCCAAAACAAAAAACAAACAAACAAACAAACAGATGGATGGGAGCAAAATGGACATGAGTGTTGGGGAATGAAGAAACAAAGCTGAAAACACTTGGGCTTTAAAATAGCTAACAGTACTTTTCCTAGTTCAGAAAGGATAGTCGGAGTTTTTTGCCCAGGTAGTCATTTCCTGGGGCTCAAGATCCTGTCAGAATGAGTGTTGGGATGGTCCTACCCACTGTGCTGTAGAAGGCAAACATCTGAGCTGCCCCCTCAAGGGACAATTTATGGACCCTCACTTTATCCTCAACCCCCACACATTAGCCTACTCAAGCTGAAAAACCTTAGAAATTTCTGGAAAGTCATAATTTGTACAGTGCTTTAAGCAGACTTTGAAATGCCATACCAACAATCTCAGATCCCTATTGATTTTCTAGACTGATGATAAGATGTCAGGAAGATATAAGTAATTACAAAAGACTAACATATTCTGATGAGAATTCAAGTCATAAGGTGGAGGCTAGAAACCAAGCCAAAAATGCCTACCTTAGCTGTCCTCTGAAAACCTTCCTGTGGTTTCTATGCTAGAATTGCCTCTTTCAGGCACTTGCACACCCATGTTTATTGCAGCACTATTCACAATAGCCAAGTTATGGAGACAGCCAAGATGCCCCACCACTGACGAATGGATTAAGAAAATGTGGTATCTATACACAATGGAATTTTATGCAGCCATGAAGAAGAACGAAATGTTATCATTCGCAAGTAAATGGATAGAATTGGAGAACATCATTCTGAGCGAGGTTAGCCTGGCCCAAAAGACCAAAAATCGTATGTTCTCCCTCATATTCGGACATTAGATCAAGGGCAAACACAACAAGGGAATTGGACTTTGATCACATGGTAAAGTGAGAGCACACAAGGGAGGTATGAGGATAGGTAAGACACCTAAAAAACTAGATAGCATTTGTTGCCCTCAGTGCAGAAAAACTATGCAGATACTTTAAAGTGACAAAGGCCAACAGAAGAAGAGGACCAGGAACTAGAGAAAAGATTAGTTCGAGAAGACTTAACCTAGAAGGTAACACATAGTACAGGAAAGCAATGCGAGTCAACTCCCTGTATAGCTATCCTTATCTCAACTGGCAAAAACCCTTGGTCCTTCCTATTACTGCTTATACTCTCTTTTCTACAAAATTAGAGATAAGGGCAAAATAGTTTCTGCCTGGTAGCGAGAGGGTGAGGGGGGAAAGGAGGGGGTGGGGGAGGTAAGGGAAAGGGTGGGGGGAAGGGGGGAAAATGACCCAAACATTGTATGCACATATAAATAAAAGAAAAAAAATTGTCTCTTTCAACTAATACCAAAACCAACATCTACTCAGAATTTTCTTTAATTATCACAAAGCAGAAGCCTGACTGTGCTGATTTTATTGACATTAATTTCTGTCACGAATGAAATCTCTATTTGTTTTTCCTAGGGGAAAACATATTATATCCATATAAATGCCAGAACTATTCAGGAATCAACATAGCTAAATTGTACAGAATTATATTCTATCTTATTAAGATGAATATAATCAATGCTACATACATATGCACTGTTGGGTACAGATATTAAATGAGTCATCTAGACAAATTGTCCCAGTTTAGTGGCTGCACGCAGAAACTGCCTGATTCTTATCACCATGATACAGCAGTGCAGCAATGAATAGGATGAGAGGAAATGGACACATAATAGCCTGTTCCAGTGTCAAGGTAACTAAATCAATATTGTGCCCAGTTTAGTTCCCCTAATTGCTTGGTTAATACAGATAATAGAGAAAAGCATTAAGAGACAATTGGAGTAAATGAAATGAGCTATAAATGAGATACACAGGAAAAATTAAAGGATTAAGATGTCTAAAATAATCTATAAATCAATTAAATATCCCAGAACATAAATAACATTTATCTTTCCTCAGAGAACCATTATTACTCTCACACTCACAATTATAAGAAGGTGTTAGACAATGAGTAGCTAGAAAACATAAGCCAGATCTTCTTAATCTGAAGATCTGAAAAGCAAAAAACCAAAACCCACAAGTAGGATAAACACAAAAAGAGCCACACCTATATACAACACAATCAAGCATACGGCATTCACATACAAACAGTGAGGGATAGCAGAGTGGCTCAAGCAGTTGAGCACCTTCCCCCCAAGTGTGAGGCCCAGAGTTCAAATCACAGCATCGCCAAAAGAAGAGAAAGAAACACAGGTATAGTATTGGTTGCCAGCAGACTTACTTTAAGATATATTAAAATAAGTTCCCTAAGGTGTACCATATGGCAACCTAAACCCATACAAAAGAACAGAGCTGTGGAAAATATGAGTGAGAAAGAATAGATCGTACATGAATATGATGGATAGAACCATAGAAATATGCACTATTTTTCTTAATTGACTTAACTAACACATTGTATAAAATAATAAAACTGTACATTAGGCATGTAACATAAAGATATTACTTATGTGACAATTACGGCTCAAAGAAGAGAGGACAAAAAGAAGCTCTGTTGAGCAAGGTTTCTCCAATTTTGCTGGAAGTAAGTTACTATTACTCCAACATAGATTATAATAAATTAAGATATATAGCTTAACCCCCAGTGCAGTCAATCAAAAAATAACTTTAAAATATGCTTTTCAATAATAAAGAATAGAATTAAAATAGTACATGAGAAAATATTATTTAACATAAAAGAAATCAGTAAAGGAAAATAGAAACAAGAAAAGATGTGAGTCATAGAAAAAAATAGCAAAATGGCATGCATTAACCAACAATATCAAGAATTTTACTAAATGTGAATGATTAAGCATTTCAATCAAAAGGGAGAAACTGTTAGATGGATTTCCTAAAAATTATAATTTATGCAAACAGTAACAATAGGGGCCTGAGGCTGGGCATGGTGGCACAAAACTAATCATAGCTGCTTAGGAAGCAGAGATCAGGAGGATAACAGTTTAAGTCCAGCTCAGGCAAAAAGCTAGCAAGACCACATCTCAATAAATCAGCCACAGATTACGGAGCATGCCTGTAACTAGCTATGCAGGAGGCATAAGTAGGAGGATTGTGGTTTGAGGTTAACCCCAGGAAAAAATATGAGACTCTATTCAAAAAATAGCTAAAGCAAAACAAAGGGCAGAAGGTATGGCTGAAGTGATGGAGCACCTGCCAAGCAAACAGGAGGCTTTAAGTTCAAACCCTAATACCACAAAAAAAGTTGTATGAATCTGATATTACATAAAATGAAATAGTTTATCAAGGCAATATTACCCTGCAACCTTGCTGTTCAAGTCATTTTGCTCCAAACTCAACTTTGAGCAACTTCACCTTTTTATTGACGTAAAATAATTGCACATGTTTATAGCACCATGTGGTAAATACAAGCCTACAATGCATAATGTTCAAACCGGGGTAACCAACAACTTCCATCTTCTTAAGCATTTCAAATCCTCCTTAGTAGCAAATGAAATTAGAACAAACTTACAAACCACAAAGATAACTCAAAAATAAAACAGCAACCAAATAAACAGTTTTATGAGAAATATTCAAATGACTGGGGTAAAAACTGGGTAACTTAAAATAGTCCAATTACAACCTCTATCACTTCCACTTACTGATTATGTAGAAAGACAGACTTACGTGGTCTTTATTCACTAAATAAAATATGAAATGCAAACATCAGTGAAACATCACAGTGCAAAAGTTCTAAAGTCTTACCTCCATCAGAACAAAGAGTGCTGCAAAGAATAAAAGGGTTGCCCACTCTACTCTGTGTAGAATTATCTCAAAATCATGGATATCAGCTAAAATTAGCAACCAGATGGCACCCAGAATAGCAATCCATCCTGAAAAACAAGTAAATGAACATATATAGTTCAATTGTTAACACACCAATTAACTTTTTATCTTCAGATTTCTTTGGGTGCACTGCAAACTGCTTATATTTAAAATGCATAATTTCTGTTTTGTCTTATGTATGTATTCATGAAACCCCACCACAATCAAGGAGAAGAACATATTCATAACCTCCAGAAGTTCATGCATGCCCAACTCTGCTCTGAATCCCTCTAGGTCCTTGTCACCCCCACATGCTCCTAGTACATGATTCGTCTCTTTTCTTTTGCTACAGGCTACTTTACAGTTTCTAAAAATGCAGATTCTCTGTTAATGATACAGTTCATATTTTTGTCTAAAAGCTTATCAATAGACAGACAGAAAATCAATATCCAGAATAATTATTTTAAGATTCTTCAGTGTTGGTGTGTGGGTCAGTAATTCATTTTTTAGTGTTCAGTCATATGCTATTGCATATCTGTGCCATGATGTACCTACCATTCGCCTGTTGATGGAGATTCACACTGTCTCTAGTATTTAGCTATTAAAAACGAATGTGCTATGACTGTTCACAGAAAACTCCTTGTATGGACATATACCTTGGGTAAATAGGAACGGAATGGTTGGGTCAGATGATATGCTAATATTATAGAATGTTATACAGAACGCTTATACTTCTTGGGTCTGTTTTTGTGGTACTGGGTTTGAACTCAGGGCTTTGTCCTGGCTAGGAAGGCACTCTACCCCTTTAGCCACACCTCCAGTGCTTTTTGCTGTAGTAATTTTGAAATTAGGGTCTCATTTTTTTATTCATTTATTCATATGTGCATACATTGTTTGGGCCATTTCTCCCCGCTGCCCCCAATCCTCTCATGATATGGTCATGTGATCTTTTTGATGTGTTGCTGAATTCGATTTGCCATTATTTTATTGAGGATTTTTGTGTCAATGTTCATTAAGGAGATTGGCCTATAGTTCTCCTTTTGGAGGTGTCTTTGTCTGGTTTTGGGATAAGTGTAATACTGGCTTCATGAAATGTGTTTGGCAGTTTTCCTTCCCTTTCTATTTGGTGGAACAGCTTAAGGAGAGTTGGTATCAGTTCTTTAAAGGTCTGATAGAATTCAGCAGAGACTCTATCAGGTTCTGGACTTTTCTTTTTTGGGAGACTCTTGATTGCTGCTTCAATTTCATTTTGTGTTACAGATCTGTTTAAGTGGTTAATATCCTCTTGGTTCAGTTTTGGATGGTCATAAGTATCTAGAAATTTGTCCATTTCTTCAAGATTTTCCAATTTATTGGAATATAGGTTCTCAAAGTATCTCTGATGAGTCCCTGGATTTCCATGGTGTTTGTTGTTATCTCCCCTTTTGCATTTCTGATTTTACTGATTTGGGTTTTTCCTCTCCATTTTAGTCAGATTTCTCAGGGGTCTGTCAATCTTGTTTATTTTTTCAAAGAACCAGCTTTTTGTTTTGTTGATTCTTTGTATTTTTTTGTCTCTATTTCATTAATTTTGGCTAGCTCTCTACCTTTCTGCCTTTCCAGCATTTGTTCACTGATGGTTCTGAGATTAGCTCCTTGCCCCTCCTCCTTTCTGTGGTGCAGTTCAGCTTTCCCTCCCCCTCTGTTCTTGTGCTAGATTACAGTTCGCTGTTTGTTGTTGTTTTTTTTTGGGAGGGGGGTGTCAGTCTGCCCAGGGGCTGTGCTGGTTTATCCCAGGGGTGGCTGGGGGAATTCCATGTGTCACATGGCACTCACCTGTTTGGTCTGTTAAAATGTCTCACACACCACCACACACAGCTTTATTTCTATTGAAATTGGGTCTCGCTAACCATTTGCCTGAGTCAATCTGGAGCCAGTCCTCTTGAGAGAGTCCTCAGTCTCCCAAGTAACTGGGATTACAGCCCAGCCAATGGCTGAAATGGGGTCTCACAAACTTTCTTTCCCAGGCTGGCCTCAAACCATGATTCTCTTTGCCTCAGCCTCTGAAGTAACTAGGATTACAGGCATAAGCCACTGGCATCAGACACAGAATATTTGTTTCAAGAAGCTGCAAAACTGTTTTCCAAAATGATTGTATCATTTTACAATCCTGTCAGCAGTGTATGGGAATTCTAGCTCCCCCATATCTTCACCAAGAGACTGATTTTAGACATCCTGATGGGTGTGAAATTGTGGTTATGGTAACTTATTGTGGTTTTGAACTGCATGGACACAATGATTGATAATATTGAGCAACTTTTCATATATTTGCCATCTATATATCTTCTTTCGTGAAGCTTTGTTCAAATATCCCACTCATTTTTAGCAGAACAGATGAGCCCAAAATAAGCAGAAGAAAAGAAATAATAAAGACTAGAACAGAAATCAATAAAATAGAAAATTTCACACAAAAGCAATGATACCAAAATCTAGCTCTTGAGAAAAGTCAATGAGATTGATAAACTCTTAGCCTATCTGAATGGATAAAGAGAAGACAAAGTGCCAAAAACAGGAATAAAATCAGTGACAGGGCTATAGATTCCATAGATATAAAAAGTACATTCGTTTTTCATAGCGGCCATAATACAGGGTCTTAACATAGCACCTGTTTACTAGATCACCAATCCTATAGGTCTGAAGTATGTTGGGTTCACAGGGGGTCTGACTAGAGCCTTATAAAGTCAAAATCAAGGTGCTCACTGTATTCATTTCTAGACACTCTAGGAGAGAACATTCCTTGTTCATTGAGGTTTTTGTCATAATTCAATTTCTTGCAGCTGTAAGACTGAGATTCCCATACCCTTGCCAGTTATCATCCAAGTGCTGCTGTTCTCAGCTTCCAGTGGCCACCTGCCTTCTCTAGTTCATGACCCCTTCCTTCATCTTCAAAGCAATGGCCAGTCAAGACCCTCCCACACTTCAGATTTCTCTTGTCCCTTCTTCTATCACATCTCCCCACCTGGCTCCTCTCTTCCTCTTCAAGGGTCCATATGATTAATTTTATCTGCAAAGCCTCTTTTTAGGGTGTTGAAAAGTTCTGAACATAGTGGTGGTTACACAACATTGTGACTATAATTAATACCACTGAATTTACACTTAAAGTGTTTAAAATGGCAAATTTGTGTGATACACCTTTACCACAATAAAAAAGTAAAAAGAAGGAAGATGCACTGTGGGACAGATCATAAAGACTTACATAGCAGGCAAGATGTTGGGGCCTTGTTCTGTGGACAGAGAGAAGACACTGAGGTTATCCAAACAAAGGATCTGGAGTGGCCAGGTTTTTCCATGGGCATTAATTTCATTGGCCTCTCTAGACTTTACTACTATTTTTGAATCCTCTTGAGCACCTACCAAAGTATAAAGAACAGGCACCACATTGAATGTTTGAGCCTTTGGTTGCTCCTCTAAAGATAGATCACCACATCTTTATAAAAAATTCTTGGTAAGGAAAAAAGTTGCATCAAATTCATTTTCCCTGGATAATGCTTTTCTAAACAATCAGAAACAGTACCCCTTTGTTTGCTGTGCCATGTGGCAATAAGGACCTCTCTCTAAGCATCAGTGAAAACACAATGTATTTGTCTTGAGCCTAAGAAATAAGTCATGACAGAAAGCTGGAAGCTCCTGGAGGATTCTTTTTATAGTTCTATTTTCTCTTATCATTTCTGGAGGCCTGCATTTTTATCCATCCAAAACTCCTGCCATTGCACTCATCAATCCAACTTCAGAACAGGTTCTATATTCACAGAGCTTTGTCTTGTCAGGAAAACTCCCTGCAGTAACCTAAAATCGAACAAAGACTCACCTTGTCCTTGCAAAGCCTGTCTTTCCCTCAATTTATATACACCACCAGCATAGCAGAGCACCAAGCAAACTGCCTGAACAAGCATACCTGCTTACTAATGCCTGGTCTCTGTGACATGGCACCTTGTAAGGCACTCCCTGCAAGGTCACTATCATTACCCCTCCATCCTATACCCACGCCACACTGGCTCCTCAATGAAGGTGATAAGGAATGAAGTAGTGGTGTCTTATATAGTAGGCTGAAAGAAAGAATCCATTGATGGGAATGGTACCAATTGGCAATGGTCGATGGGTGTGATTGATTCTTTGGATACACTGTCTGAAATTAGAACACTGTCTCTATGGTGGGAGATGGAGAATAAGCAGGCAAAGGAAAGTAGAACACAGGAAGATGCTTTTATTGTGGAAAAAAAAGGAGGCTTTTATTAAAAGTGACAGTATGCTTCTAAAGTGATATGAGGTGGGAAGTTTGGCAGAGAAAGTTTGACTGCCTTGAAATTGCTGCCCGCTGTCCAGGTCCTTTGTTCAGTCACGAAGAAGGGAAATCTGTTGATTTGAATTCTTGGGTCTGATCCTAAACAGGCCAGGACATGTTCACATGTTGCCGGGTTGTAGGACCCTGGTAGGAGTGTGTTCATTAGTCATAAGCCCAGAAAGCTTGTTCCATTTGAAATGTCTCAGACATGGGAGCTGGTGGCGGTGGGGCGGGGACCCCTTTCCCACTCACGTCGGCCACCTGCCTACCCTAACAGGACATCACAATTTCCAGCTTTCGCGTTCTATTACAAATTCTAGCAATGTGTCATTGAGACTATTCTAAACATTAAGTTTAGTTGAGGGGAGATGGAGAAGGATAAAAGCAGCATGTACCTGGATGTCTTTATCCTGTGGAGCTACTATCAAACCCTCTTCTTAAATGGCCATTAATCTTTCACCACAGCTTTGCCATGCCTTAAAGCAAAGCTTGTGATAAATGGCTCTTTACTTTCATTTGTATCTCCAGGAGAGTCAAGTTTCAAAGCAGAACAAAGAGTTAAATGAGCCTCTTTCCCCCATTCCGAAACCTCTGGGCAACACAATTCAAATGAATGTAAGGCAAAGACTTCCATCATTCACTGAGCACCCTCCTTGGAACTCATCCATTATCTCTCAGCAGCCCAGTCCAGGAGGAGACAAAGGCTCCAGAAAATGAACTGGTTTCATTCAGGCTACACAGCTTGCT